ACTCTTTCTGCTGAACCCCAACACTGGGCTGGATCATCCCACCTCCCTGCTCTGAGCTAGACCCTGACTCTGGGTGGACCATACCCCTTGTCTGAACTGGGCCACCCATCCCCACAGCTCTTCCCCAGGCCCCCAGCCCGGGGTTATAAGGGAGAGGTTTCCAGGACCAGCCAGAAGCCCACAGCCTTTTCTTCTCCACCTGCTCCCCAAACTCTACTGCAGCCCCTCCCTGAATAGAGGGGCAGAGTGTGCCTGTGGAGTTGCTATAGCAACAGGGCTCAGCCTCACCGTCGTTGGGGTTGGAAGCCATCACTCAGTCTTCCACCCAGGGCACCAGGACTACGGTGGCTGGGAAGGCTCATGAGACCTGCCGCACCAGCTTGGCTGCCCATCGCTAGAAATCAGCCTACAGGGGGAGCCAGGGAGTTGTGGGGGTGATGGCAGGAAGAGAAACCCAACTTGTGGGCCAGTGTGTGCAGGGGAGAGACAGATAGGACCTTCAAGCTTCTGTAGGCCTGACTGGGCCAAGGAAAAGCTGCCTTGGCAAGACCCTCTTGGGCACCCATAAAACTGCCACTGCGCAGAGGGTGTTTGACTCTCTCGGACTTCCGTAGGATGTTAAAAGGCAATAATTTTTCCCATCCAAGGACCTCTTGGGGGCACTTCTCACTCTCAGAACCTGGTTCTGCTTGTCCCTGGGACCTGGGGCGAATGTCTGGGGGCTCCCTCTCACCAGCCCTGCCCCTTCTCCCGTGGGCCAGCTCCCAGGGGTGCCTTTAGCCAGTGCCAGCCAAGGCCTGAGCCCCACTTGGCTGACTATCCCAGGGGCCTCTTGGGGCCGCTGCCCTCTCTCAATTTCTCCAACTTGCTCAGAGCCTGGTGCTAGGTCTTCTTCTCTCTGCCCTCTTAGCATCTTCCCCCCGGCCCCTGCCAATGGCTTTGGTATCTTTGGGTACAGATTTCCCTCGCCCTATGCCAGTGTTTCTTCTACATAGATCCCTGCTCTCTTGGGAGGACGCGATGCTGTCTTGGCCTGGCACCAAACGGCAGTACAGAGGGCTGCAGGATGCCTACCTAGTGCCTACTAAGGCTTGGACAATCTCCCTCCCTACCCCAGTAGGGCTGGTGTCTGGCAGATGAAATTCAGGTGCCCCCTGCAGGCTGGCCTGGCTACTGCCCCCACCCCCTTGCCCAGCCCTAGTTACAAGAGGGCAAATTTTGTCTAACTCCATCATTTCAGAATCAGCATGCCAAGCACAGAAGGGCTTCCTTCTTTACCCCGTTTCCTTCTCTGAGATCCCCTGCAAGCCACTAGAAGTCAAGCTTACTGTGTTTCCCGATAAGTGACATGGGTCCCTTTGGCAGGGCATGGAATGATTTTAGGGTTTTCATTTTTCTAGTTACATTGTATTACATTGTGTAGCAGAGAGAATATAACTGGCACAGCAATCCCATGACTTCATTTGTATTACTGCTTAGAATGGATCAAAGTTTACCTCTGAACAAAAGTGAGTCAAAATTTTTATTTTCAATTAAGGAAATATAAGTGAATAGAGTAAAACTCAGGGAGGCAGTGTGACAATGTCTGGCCTGGGAAATTCTGGGGTCCAGGAAGTTGGCTGGTAGGTGGAACTGGATGTGAATCCTGCCTCTGTGATATCTATGTCAAACTCAGAGAGGCTGTTTGGAAAATTCGGAAAACAGCCTGTTACGAAAATCACTCAAGCATATAGATCTATGAAGACCATTTAGCCTGGCACATCCTAGATGCCCAATAAATGGTGGTCCATTCCTGAGTGTCCTGCCTGTAATCTCTGACTTAGCAGTTCCTTCCAGAGACTCTGATTTTTTGGAGGGAGTCTTTACCCCATGTGGCTTTTCACGCCCTACTGCATGCATATGATATGCCTTGAAAGTTTTCATCTCCCCAACTTTCAACTGAGCAATGCCCTCTTGTAACTAGGGATGGGCCAGGGGGTGGGGGCAGTAGCCAGGCCAGCCTGCAGGGGGCAGCTGCTTGCCTCCACCTTTTACCTCCCAGGCCTCACCTGCTGGAGGCCCAGCTCCTCTCCCTTTGCCTCGTCCCCTCCAAGCTCATACCCAGACCTTTTTTGGTCACTACCCACCTGCTCTTCTGTCATCAAGCGCTCAGCTACAGGCACTTGCTTCCCTGTCCCCCACCCATCGGTGACATGTCAGGCCTCCCCATGGCTGTTCAGCGACTCTGAGTTCTGCCATTTGAATCCATCTGGGAATAAAGTTCCCTAGATTTCATGCCTAGGTCTTCCTGGGAGGGGGCATTCAGAGAACTCAGATCCTGGGGTTTGAGACCAGTAACTGGAAACGGCATATTTAGATGTGGTCTCCCTTTTCAGCTCTGTTTCTGGGAAGGGGATCCTAGTTGAGGTCCACCTTTAGGCTTGGAGTGATGACAATTTAAGAGCTGGAGGAACTGAGGAAGGGGCTTGAGGCCATTTCTGAAGGCATTTCCAGATACAGAATCTCTCTGGCTGGTGGGAAAAGGCTGACATAATTTGGGGACCGAGGGCAACAGGACTCTTTCTGGCTGAGCCCTGGGAATGATCAGAATCTGTCCCTTGGCAAAGCAAGTCATTAGATGTCACCCACTATTCTCCGAATGCCATATCCCAAATCCCTTTTCTCACCATCCCGGCTCAAGCTGAATGAGCCTTGTTAAACCCAGACACTTTTCATCTCCCACTTTTCATCCTGAGCCAGAAGTGGGTGAAGAATCCCAGGGGACTGGGTGAATAACGGAGCCTCAGTTGTGAAGCAACCATTTATTATTGAGGGGACCTCCAAGGAGCCTAGAGCTCACTGCAGGAAGTAGGTAGGGGCTCTGCTGCCACCTCCCAAACCAAACCTGAGCAGGAGAACGCAATGAACCAAGCAAGACCAGCTCAAACTTGGCTTTCGACGCACTGAAGCAGTTCTCTAGGTTCATAAACAGTCTGCTACCCCAGCCACAGACAGATGCTTGCTTGGAGGAGGGAATACAAGCAGAAGAGCAGAGTGGCAGAGAGTGACAGGATGAGAGAGGGCAGAGGGACCCAGAAAGATCTTGTCCCCCATGCCAAGTGACACAGAAGGGAAAACAATGCTGGACCTCTGGGAAAAGCTCAAGGCGACAGAGTAGGTTTGGAGGAGGGCTGTGGTAAGGTGAAAAGGGGAAGGGCAGGAGAAGGATGGTGGGGGGCTAGAGGGGGAAGGGGTGTGGTCCAAGTGGCCAAGGTCCCTGCGGGATGGAGGCAGACCCCACAGTACTCCCAAAGACTGGCAGGAGCCTGGGTCGGGGTCTGGCGGTGGGTCCCATCTGTGGGAGAGGTGAATGAGGAAGCGGGGGGATTAGAATCTGGGGAGAGGGTCCAGGAAAGGAGGGAGTGGGATGGTGACGGGGCCCCATGTGGGGCCCCAGTGGTCATACGTGCCATGGTTGGCAGTGACAGCTGGGTGGGGGGGCAC